CGTCCTGCTAGAGCATAGGGTATGGCACTTCTCTGAATAGGGGTGAGTTTAGTAAAACCATGGTCCTTGAGGCCAAGCTGCGTCTTGCGAGAGAGCGGCAGCTCGCCAAATGAATGACCGGTGAGGACGGGGCCCGTCGCTGATCATATAACAGTATGCCGCTTCAACCGAAGCTGCCATTACCCCTACTTGAACGCTCGTGGTGCTCGTCTCCTGCATCTCCAAGGCCCCTCCTGCGCTCGAACTGGTCCACGCTTTCTCCCTAGAGCAACAAAACATCACAATCAGTAAGGCGTGCGATCAGAACTCACTTTTCGAGGACACTCGATGATCAGACGGTTTTCGAGATCAGCTATCTCTGCATCCTCACGATGTCGTAATCCCATTCTACGGCTGTCCCTCTGAGGGCCGTCCTCGGGCGTATCTGTAGCACTTGTATTGAACGGACAAACTATTGATGTGTCAGGGAGACCTACGACCGGTATAGTTTCAAAAAACCACGACGTGCATCTCAGATGAATAGAATCCCTCAGTTCAGCGAAGACCGGGTCAAACAACGATGTGGCTGAATTCCCGTAAGACTGTCTACACACTGCCGGTGTGGGGGTATCCCCGGATTGCACCGTTCAAAGCCCAATTTTGCTCTCAGTAGGATCGATTCCGCAGGATCGGAAGATCAATTCGGACTACACCACCACAATAATTTCAATTTTGACGACTTTTGGGTATCAATTTCGTTGTCAGCGAGGCTGACTTCGACCAAGTCGGATAAGCCATAACGCCATAGCGCGGCATGGCTGTTGCCGTCTTCTGAGGGCGGAAAGTCTTGTGAATTAGAGTACGCATCTTGGATTGTCATGAAGATTGTAACGTAAAGGCCGACCTCGATGTGGCATATCTGCCCCGAGCAAATCGGTCATGCCATCATCAAAAATGATTGTACTAAGGCATATCTAGGAGCTATGGCATAGGTGCCTTTCGGAAGGATTTATTGCACTGAGGCGTATCTTAAGGTTATGGCATAAGCGCCCCGTCCGATGGAATCGCTTGTACTGAACCTATCTCAAGGGTATGAGATAGGTGGCCCGCCCGGTGGAATTGATTGTAGTGAGGCGTATTTTGAGGTTATGGCATAACTGCCCCGCCCAAAGGAATCGATTATACTAGGGCATATCTTAACCTTATAGCATAGGAGCGCCGCCGATAGAATTGATTGTACTGAGGCATGTCTTAAGGTTAGGGCATAGGTGCTCCGCTCGAATAAATCGACTATACTAAAGCGTATATTGAGGTTATGGCATAGGTGCCCCGCTCGATTGAATCTGTTGTACTGAAGAATACCTTGAGGTTATGGCATAGGTGCCCCGCCCGATGGCATTGCTTGTACTGAGGTACATCTTAAGGTTATGGCAAAGATGCCTCGCCCGATGGAATTGCTTATACTAAGGCATACCTGCAGGCTACGGCATAGGTGCCCCACGCAATGGAATTGAATGTATTAAGGCACATCGGATGTGCCAGGCCTTAGGATGGCACAGGATGCCTTAGGATGTGCCACATCTTAAGGCTATGGCATAGGTGCCCCGCCCATGGAACTGATTTCACTAAAAGCAAACTAGGGCTTTAAAATGTACGTAAGTTTCACTCCATAATTCCCAACATCATACTCCTGACTCACCAAGGCAACAGCACCACTCAAACAAGGACGACTCTACCATAACCCTACTACCCTTCCTTCCCTTCCCCTTCCCTTTGCCCTTCCCCTTGCCCTTGCCCTTCCCCTTTCCTTTGCCCTTCCCTTTTCCTCCCTTGCTATGCCTCCGTAGTGTAGTAGAAGGCTGCTCTGTCGTGGTCATGGAATGATAAAGACTGTCTTAACCCCTCGAAGTCCACCTCCACACTGCCAAGCACAACACCCTTATTGGGGAATAAACTGGTTATGAGCACACCACGCAGCACTATTGTCGTCCACTTCTATATAAGTCGAGCCGATACCGAATCCGACACATCACCGTGGCATACCGCTCCATGACAACATCTTTCCCACTCAATTTACATCACTTTATCGTGACGGCTTATCGCTCGTGACTAGTTTATCAATTTTTGCGTAAGACCCTTGCGTAACCCGAGGGGGGGAGCGGTTGTTATCAGTCTAAGCAGCGACCATTCTGTATATTTCCCTTGCGCCCTGATCTCTTTCAGCCGTCCCAAGAGCATCACGGTGATGCCATCACCGATCAGCAGCCCTTTGGATAGTGGAGGGCCGGCAGAGCATGGTCTTGCTTGTGAACTTCACGAACGAGCTCATTGCTCCCAGCGCTGATCATAACTGCATTAGATGATGATAAAAACCGCGTGACAATGAGGTCCTACCATAGAGGTGCCACAAATTGGAAAATGCAGAAAAAATCTCAAGATCGGAGCGGAGCGAAGCACGTGATCGCAGCTGGAGTTCCAAATGTTTCATCTTGCGCTCTTCTATAGTTCTCTGCCGTAGTACCGTCCAT